CTTTGGCTATGTCTATACAAGCAATCTGTTTGTTAGCATTGTTTTGGAAACTCGATTACCAGAATAATATGGTCAATTCTTCTTATGTACTTTTAAACAGGAAAGAATGTCTGCCTAACTTCAAGTACTTTTTATCTGATGATTTAATAAACCAAGCAAGGTCTGGGCCACTTAAACCGTTAGTCAAAACACCACTTGAGTCTCACTCGCAAGGCCTAAATAGGAACATCAAATGGTCATTGGTATTTTCTGGCTAAGGTATCAGCTCATATTTTTCACTGAAATTCAATGAAATCTACAGGAGAGCTTTTGCACTGCCATAACAACTATAAAGTTCTTATTGAAAAAGTATTTGTTTATTATTTAAGTCATTCAAAAGGTAGAGGCCCTAGTTTTTTTTTCAGTTCTTTAATCAAATTGCCGGCAGATGTTTAGATGTTTTGGGCTTAGCTGAAATAGCCTAAATTAGGTCAGAGTAGAATAAAAAATGACTATGGGAGGCAGAAAGAAATCTGCAATGTTCTGATTTAAGTGGACAGAAATATAACTTAGAGCATTTATACCCCTGTAAAATTTGGCATCTTCCAAAAACGATGACTTTGAATTTGAAATCTTTCCTCTTTCTTTGTACTCCACTGGACTTAAAGTTGGAAGTGGAAGAGATTCTTCAACAGTGGTCATTTTCTAATATAATTCAGACATTTTCTTTGCAGGATCTATACCCTTACTCATTATCAGGGACACACTGATGGAATTATGGTGGAATCAAACAAATGAATACAGGTGTCTAGAAGTGACAAGAAAGCCAACTGTAATGGAGGTAAACCGTGGCATAGGTATTTGGACAAGTAGTAAATGATTCTTATACCATGTATTATTATATTTGACTTCAGAGTACATTTTTCACTTTACATTTAAATATGTCAGTCTGAAATTTTGGGGCAAATGAAGAAAATGTATGTATAGCGGCCATTCCATTTTCACATCTCCTATGTATACTATATCATATATATGCTTAATAATAAATGCCTTGCTTCTATGATTTAGTAGATCTGGATTTATTGGTTGGCTCTGTGACCTTGAGCAAATCATTATTCTTCTCTGGGCCCTTTTTTTCTGTTTGTGAAATAAGAGGGTGGAAGAGAGGTCGGGATAGAGTGGATTCTCTCTAAGGTACTCTCTTAGCTCCAATTTTCTCTGTTTATAAATTCACTCTCACATCGGCTTATACTTTCTCTGGGGTCAGATGACATTTAAGCGCTGTATTTGAAATACCTTTCTTTTTTCTTTTTAATTTTTTTATTGTTATGTTAATCCCCATACATTACATCATTAGTTTTAGATGTAGTGTTCCATGATTCATTGTTTGTGCATAACACCCAGTGCTCCATGC